AGGGGATTGGATGCCAGTGAACTAACCAAGAAGAAGGAATGGTTTGAAGGCCCAGAATTCCTAAAGCGGTCTGAAGAAATATGGCCATCTGAGGGTGTGAAAGCTCCAGCAAGAATGGAGAAAGCTGATGATACTATGTCAGGAGATTTGGATGAGACTCACATTCATGCCACAATGATAAACAAGGAGGATCCAATAAGTGCACTCCTGTCGTACTATTCTGATTGGGATAAGCTGAAACGAGGAGTTGCCTGGATATTGAAGTTCAAGAAAATGCTACAAGGAAAGGGGAAAGGAATAGATGGCAATTCCAGTGAAATGTTCAGCCTGACAAATAAGGACATTGAAGATGCCGAAGTCGCAATTGTTAAACAATTGCAACTTGAATCATTCCCAGAGGAAATGAAACGACTGGCTGGTCACGGAGAAGAGAAAGGAGTACCAAAACGCTCTACCCTTAGTAACCTTGATCCAGAATTGAGCAATGGGTTACTTCAAGTAGGTGGAAGGTTGCAGAATGCCCAGATTCCAAGCAGTGCTAAACATCAATACATCCTACCAAAGAAGCATCATGTAACCACTCTTTTAATGCAATACATCCATAGGAGAGTTGGTCATCAGGGACAAAATCACATGGTAGCTGAATTACGACAGAAATTCTGGGTGGTAGGAGCTGGAGTTTTAGCACGAAACATAGCAAGGAAATGCATCATTTGCAGAAAGAACCAAGGAAAGGCTGGTCATCAGAAAATGGCAGAACTTCCAAGAAGTCGAGTTCAGAGTGACGAGCCGGCGTTCACAAGAGTTGGCATGGACTATTTTGGTCCTTTTGAAATAAAGTGTGGAAGAAGCATAAGGAAAAGATATGGCGTAATCTTCACATGCCTGTCCTGCAGAGGGGTGCACATTGAAGTTGCATCGAGTCTAGACACAAGCTCCTGTATTGAGGCTATTCGTCGCTTCATCAGCCGCCGAGGACCTATGAAAGAGATGTTCTCGGATAATGGTACAAATTTAGTAGGAGCTGAGAGGGAACTGAAGCAGGCATTAAAGGAGCTGAATCAAGACCAGCTGATCAACTTTCATGCAAACCATGGCATGAAATGGCATTTCAATCCTCCTGCTGCTTCCCATCAGGGGGGAGTATGGGAACGCCAAATTAGAACAGTCCGAAAGATACTGTGTGCAGTCATGAGAGAGCAGTATCTAAAGTCCTACCAGAATGAGGAGCAGCTCCATACATTCATGTGTGAAGTGGAGGCCGTCGTAAATAGTAGGCCTCTTACCCGATGTTCAGACAACCCAAATGATCTGGATGTAATCTCACCAAACAGCTTGCTGACTATGAAGGGTTCAACGACGCTACCTCCAGGGATCTTCGACGACAAGGACATCTACGCAAAGAAGCGGTGGAAACAGATGCAGTACTTGGCAGACCTATTCTGGAAGAGGTGGGTGCGAGAATACCTGCCTTCCCTACAACGCCGACAAAAGTGGCTGCAGCCAAGTCGTAACCTTCAGGTGGGGGACATTGTACTCGTCATAGACGAAACAGCGCACAGATGTTCCTGGTCCATGGCCCGAGTGCAAGAGGTTATGCCAGACAACAAGGGGTTCGTCCGCAGAGCGAAAGTGAAAACTGCAACAACATCGCTAGTAAGACCAGTAACCAAGTTGTGTATTCTACTGGAGCAGGAAATTTGAATGGAGTTTGTCTCAAATTTATGAAAGGATCTATATGTATAATATGTGAAAGTGCCTTTAAGTGGATTGCTTTGAATCATTATTGGAGGAGGATATCAAGCAAATGAAGCAATTTGTGTTTGGATCAAGCGAACAAGTGGAATTTTGTGTTTGTGTTAGAGTGAAATATTAATAGCCCTTTGGCTAATAATTGGTAATCATTTGTGATAATGAGCCAATACAGGATCAAATCATGTTTAATCGCGAATTTGCATTGGATCAACACATCTTTAATCGCGAATTTGCATTGGATCAACACATGTTTAATCGCGAATTTGCATTGGATCAACACATGTTTAATCGCGAATTTGTATTGGATTAACATATGTTTTATCGCGAATTTGCATTGGATCAACATATGTCAAGTCGCGAATTTACACAGGATGATTTTGTCAACACGCGAATTGCAAGAGAGCAAAGTTTTACGCGATTTCAAGAGAGGACGCTTCCATAAAAGGATGTCAATTTAAGACATTTAATTATGATAAGTCAGCACCGAATATTGTTTATGCTTTGCAAGAACGATAAAGGATATGAACATGAACTGGAACGAACTATTGAACTTTCAAACTGTTTAAGTTGAACTCTGTGAAATGCTATTCATGACTGAAATGTTTGTTTTGAAATTTGATGTTTTATACTCATACATGTACATGTATATATGTAAGTTTGTTGAGTTTCAATATTTCTTTGTGTTATCACAATTGGGATGTTTAAATTGAGGATGATTGAACATACATGTACACAAATAATTAAAAGAGAATATTTTGTTAAAAATTTGTTCAAGGTAATGATTGAATTAGCCTCAGAGTTAAAATCAGATACATTTTGTTAATATAAAACATACCAGAAAGAGAGAACTCAAATAGGGTTAAAGGGGGAAAGTGTTTTGAAAACAGTGTATTTGTTGACATAGAAAGTTAGAAATTTCATTTTATTAGATGTTCAGAACATTAACATGAATGAAAAGATTTAAATATATGTGTCTGCACTCTGCAGTGTAGAGCATTATAAGGAAGTTCAGATTGTGTTATATTTAAATTGAGGATTAACATGTTTAAGTGAAGTAAGGAATGTTATTTAGTTTTATGTGCAAATGGCAAGGATATTTGCATGTGCTTAGTAGTCAATCCACAATGTGACTTCAGTCATGCAGGTAAACTTCGGACAGATTGATATATGCAAATAGAAAGAACAAGGTTAATGTTCAAGCGAAAGTACAAGTATTACATGTATGAAGATGGTATTATGCACAATGCTAAATATTTCCTTTTCTCTATTGTTTGAAAGTACATGTGCATCTACGTTATTTCAATGTTCCTTTTATGTTGATGTACATGTACATCAGTTCAGTTCAATTGAAGGTGTTCAGAAATTGTTTTATGTTTAAGTAAAAACAAAAGGAAAAATGTTAAAGGTAGTGAATACAGCCACTAATTATTCTTGTTTTGGAAGAACAATTCTTGTGTTTGGATTTCATATTACTGGTCTATTTCCAGAGTTATTTTTTGAAAGGCAATTATAACGAAAATTGTGTTTTTGATAATTTAATTACCATAGGTATTACATTTTGACAAAAGTTTGACAGCTATGAGTAAACATTGAACATATTTTGATTTAAAGTTATCATTGATTCATGATTATTTTGTATTGGATGCTTTTGTTGAGTTGATACAGGAATGTTTATAGTAATCCAGGGATAAAGCTCGATTTTGCAGAATTTAGTGTATTCTGTGCATGTAGATAGTAGAAATTGGCAGAGTAAGGAGATATAAGTGTTACATCTCATTGTGATTATGATTTGTGTTGGAAACAGCTAGGTATTATATAAATAGAAAGTGTTTGAATTTAATTTTACCTAGGTTATGAGACAATATGTAGAAAATGGTTGTAAACATTTGATAATACATGTACATGTAGATAACAGTTGATATTTTGTTAATTTACATCAGTGGTGGACAATTAAGTTTTGGTTAAATAGATGTTAATCGTATGTAAATCGTTGCATCCTCTAGCTGCAACTGGGGGGAGGAATGTAAGGATCAAGATATAAGAAGCCAAATTTAGTTTTTGTTTTGAGGATACCGTAGATTGACTGGAATTGTTGTACAAACGTAGCTAGGCTTGTCACATGGAAACTACAGATATGATATGATGTGGGCACGGATTCAAGGAAGGAAAACTTTGTTTTACCTACTAAACTACTACTATTATTGCTACTTTGTACATTCCGGTGTATGGAATTGATTGGAGTTCAGTTGAGTGTTAATAAACAAAGAACCATGAAATTACCACATTGTCTCAAGGATCATATGTAGATATCTCTACATGTATAAAATGAACTAAATTGAGATATTGAGTGTTATACCAAGTGTAAAATCAGCTTTGATTCATATTATTCTTATTCCAGTTATTGATTCCTTTCTCTATTCATGATATATTTTTTCTCTTTACTTTCTGTATATTGTTGTAATTCCAAATATTTTGTGTAAAGAAATATTTTTGTTTTATCTTGCCAGAACTGCTATTTTATAATACTGTCATACTTTTTCTTTATTTTTCCCCATCCTCCTTTATGATAAATCAAGTTTTTAGGCTTGCAAGCCCCTTGACCTCTATATTTCAGGCTTCTTCTTTACGATCAATTGGGCAAAAAGAATTTCCGTTTTGGTTTAATAAAATTTGGAGTGGACTAAAAGATTATTATTATCATTATTATTATTATTATTATTTATAGCATAGATATGTATCATCAACATATTTTGTGTTTTTTTTTCAGGCAAATTGGTTAAAAAACAACTGACATTTCTGCTCTATTCACGCACAATATCTAGTCTATGATACATCCACTTTTATTAATGCATTTGTTATTAAAACAAATAATCCATGATCTGATGTGTATATAGTTAAACCTTGGTCAACTTCTTCTGTATTTGAAACCAATAATTTGTACAGGGACTCTCATTAAAACAGTTTTAATACTGAGAGAATCACCCTGTTTAAAGCTCATCTGTACTAGTTTATAGGAGGGATTAGACCACCATGCAAGGTCACTGGACAGGTGGTAATCTCATCAACTCAGCTCTCAATTAACATAAGAAAAGAGGATCATGGGGCCCAATGGTCCCCGAATAGGCATTGTTTTCCTATATAGAGGGAGCAAGTAGCTACAAGTAGTACAGTGTGGCTTTAAATAAAAATAAATATATATATATTTTTGTTTTTAAACAGTTTCTTTCCACTTTTCTGTTCATTAGGTAGTTGACAGAGGACTGTCTTTTCTTCATGACCTTTGCCTTGATGTCCACAAAGAGTACGGACAACGGATGGACGACTGCAGCGAAATCATGACAGGCTCCTCCCCCGTTGAAGAAGAAGAAGGAGAAATAGAGGACGATTCCTTTGAGGTTGTCTTTGCCGTGGACAACAATGATGCATCAACGGGCGATGCCTGCTCCAGTGACATCACACAAAATTCAACACATGGGACTGTTGTAAGTCAAAGGGAGACCTGTGTAGCTATCAAGACTCAAAAAGAAGTCAGTGGGACTGAACATGCAACAAAAACTACAGATGGGACATCAAAGGAATATGACCAAGACTCGCAACATGGCACTACCTCAGAACCAACACGTGGGACTACAACACTAGGTTCTACTGGGAAATTAGGACGTCATCCTATTTTCAAATCGGATATAACGGGGATCAACGACACTCCCCCAAACTGCCCTCACATTTTTGTATCGGCGCATGGGTATATACTCCGTGCCTTGTTCCAAACTCTGCAGAAACAGTACAAAATGATTGATTTTGCAGGTGGAAAATCAATACTCAAAGCAATACTCAGGGGTAGATGCCCCAACACGGGGCTTAGTACTTTTGTATTTACACTTGACAGTGATGGACTCCTGAGTGATGTAGAATGCTATTTCGTGTATGCCATAGATCATTTGGAAGGCATTGAGTATATACATACATAAGAGGGGGAGGGAGGGGGAGATATCAAGAGAGAGTGAGAGAGAGAGAGAGAGAGAGGGGGGGGGGGGGGGGAGTCTGTTGCACTTACATGTATATGTTTATATTTTAACAGAAGCTGAAAGGCATGGAGGTTATACATGTCAAAGAGAAAGAGAAAGAAAGAGAGAGTGAAAGGTTAACCTAAGCCTAATGGCACATATTTTTGTAACATATTCTACCTCTATTAAAAATTATATTCATTTATATATATGATATTTACAATCTTAAGCCTTCAGGGGTTGTCTTAAAGCATCCTGCTCATTGCCTACAATGGGACAATTATTTCCCAGGGGAGATATGTTGACTGCCCTCTAAATGTTGAGTGTCCTTGCACTGCCAGGTTTTCAGTGACATTTGATGTAATTCAATTTGTAATTTGTATGTAATAATGCAATTATCTATAATTTGTATGTAATAATGTAGGCCTGATATGTAATTTGTATAATTATGATCATGGAAGTTGTTTGAATGTAATAATGTTATGCACATAGAGGATTGTCACTAATGATTATTATGTGCTAGATAAGTCACATTTATTATTAATTACTATAATAAGCTACTGAAATTGTTGCATTTGTTTGGCTGAAAACAAATTTGTCGTAAAAATGTGACACTTGTTACTGATAAAAAAAATTAATGAAACAAGGCCCTAGAGGGTGTTTCACAAAGATCCCAAGTCGAACTTATCTCTAAGTTTGACTTAAACATTATGGAGAGCCATTTGTAGCCTTAAAATAAAATATACTCAAAAGCAAATATCAAAGTAAATTAGACTTTTCATAAATTCAAGAACATGAAATCTCCATGGAAAAAAAAACTATGAATGATTTGAATCAACATGCTGTGCCTTTTAAAATAACTTCTACAAAATATTTTCAAAGATGCTAACGGCTTTCCATGATTGTTAAGTCCAACTTAGAGTTAAGTTCGACTTAGGATCTTTGTGAAACACCCCCCAGGTCATGCAATATGATTGTGAAAGGAAGAGAGATTTTTAACAGAGAATAGGGGTGGAGAAGTATATTTTAATCCTTGACTTTGCCAAATTGCCCAGACAACTTCGCCCGGACAACTACCCCCCAGACAACAACCCCTAGGATAGTTTTCCTAGAGGATGGTTGTCATAGGGGGTAGCTGTCCGGGGGGGGGGGGGGTAGTTGACTGGGGATGGTTATCCGAGGGTAGTTGTCCAGGGGGTAGGTGTCCTAGAGGGTGGTTGCCCAGGCCCCTAGGGGATAGTTGACTGGGGGTGGTTATCAAGGGGTAGTTGTCCAGGGGGTAGGTATCCTAGAACCCTTGAAATGAGGGCATTTGAAGAGCAAGGCTTTTCAGCTAGGGGACATTCTACTGTGTTTCTCTTACTAAGAATAATACCGCATTAGTCTTACATTTTTCCTCACCATGAGATCTAACGGAGAACAAACCATAATGTTATGCAAGATGCGTGACTTAAGATTGTAATATGATGAAATATATATTTATATCCTTTAGAATCTGCCTGAAAATATTATCTTAATAAAAATAACAATCCACAAACATTTTCGGTGTGATCATTTTTTATTGAGTGCCATCTTTTTCTTGAATTTCACCCAAAGCTTGCTCGAATTTTATAATTTTGTTTCTTATTAAAGATCTTTTCAGTCTTTCATGATTAGGATTGTTTTTTCTTCTTTATAAAATGTAATTTTTCGCACTGCAGCTTCACAAATCTTTTAAAATGTTGCTCGCTCGCATATGGAAACGTTGTATCATCCGCTCAATCTGACTTGCGTGCATAGAACAAATAAACATTTTTCCATGAAAAGGTGAAGTTTTCTAAAAATGTGCGTTTCTTTCCAGCATTGGGGCGCCCGGGAGTCACTCGGGTAACATTTCATAAAGTATAATATAAAAAGACCATATGCAAATTTTCTGTACTTTTGTCGGAAAAAATAGATTTACCCAGCACAATCTCGTCTCTTTTTGCGTTGGAGAAGAGCAAAAAGCGAGTTTCAATCATACTTTGGCCGCTCTCGCAAGCTCTCATTCGTTTCACTGTGGTCAAGCGACTTTGGGGCAAGCGGTTAATGAAAATACTAATCGTTAGCTTTCTTCTGGTATTAACCTTGTTTTGATTGATTGTATAATTTTGTCGGAATAAAGGAAACAAGCTTGACCAATAACTTATCAGCGTCTGAATTGACCTTTTGACCTTGAATTCCCTGATGTAAGCGCACATAAACAGGTTCTAATGACGTCATCTTCGCTCAATCGGTGTCTTTTATCGTAAAATGCTACACTTTCACAATGTGTATACATCTTTTTTAATTATTAGTAAGATATAACATATTTTGTCTGATACCACTGAAGTTTTGGGTTTTATTTAACGAGTAATTTTAAAATAAGAGCCATTTACTGTTTTAATTTACTGGATCGTACCATTAAAGTCGCTGGGTAGTAGAAGCATTTTCCAACCGCGCCAAATTTAATTTACGTTCCGACATTCTGTCAAATGGGTTCGTGTTGTTAAGAATCCACTGCTTTCTGCTCCACCAAACGTCCACATGCGGAATCGTTTATCAACTAAATGATTCAAATTTATGGATGCTTCCTTCCCAGGTGTTTGTGTTGTTGAAGCATTTCATTCACCTACTATCATTCTTTGTACTCCAATTGCCAGAACGCAAATTACATTTTGGTTTTATAGTTTCATGCGGAGTCGTTTATCAACTCTATGTATTCAAATTTATGAATGCTTCCTTCCCAGGGGTAGCCTTTATACAAGGCCACATGTGTGATAGACGCCGAGCGACTAAAAAGAGACTAATCGCGAAAACCTGAGTAAACGCCAGTGCGAATTGCCCAGACCAGTGGCCTTTATCAATCTGGTTTGGATTTCTGATGTTAACCTTTGTTTCCGACAGGAACTCGCTTCAGAAAAGGTAGTGTCCAATCAGCGAACGTATCTCCGCATGACGTCAGCTTATACACACAGACACACACACACACACACACACACACACAGTAAACTCTACGTAGTACGAACATGGACCTACTATGAATTATTACGTACGTGCTAAGACCACTGACCTATACATGGAACGAATCACGAACGAAGCCAACTGGGAGATCGCCGTTATGATTGGTCAATAAATCCAAAGTAGGCGTATTGGCATGCTAATATGTATCTATGAATAATTCATGCGGAGCAGTGAAACCTACATTGCAAAAGGGCCTCGTGACATTCGTCACTCGGTCCCGTGTTCACCCCGGGTATCTAGACTCATCTCAGCCGCTTAGCCAGAGTCACGAGGCCTTGTCAAAAGGCTATCCCAGGGGTGGTGTTTATGTATTTCATTCACCTGTTATTATTCTTTTTACTCGAATTGTTAGAATACAAAATGTATTTTGTTTTTATAGTTTCATTCAATAAGTAAGTCAATAAAAGAGTATGTTCTGCACAATAAAAAACAATGTGTGTCCCTATTGTACAATGTAATGTGTAATTACATTTTGTAATAGTTAATTTACCCATTCACATAATGGAACTACCTTCCCGGTGAAGCCAGTGGCCCGTGACCCCTGAGCACTCAACACCGTGTGGGAGTCAGTTTGTTGTCAACTTCTGTTATGAGACAAATCAAACCAAACGTTTCCATATGTTCGCTTGTTCACAAAAAAAAAAATTCAGACCAGCACACCCAAGTGCAAAGTATGATGCTTAAGCAGTATCTTGGACTATGTAAAGAGAGAAACAAACTATGAAATCATCCCTGCTAATCTAATCACAATGTAGGGGAAATGAGGGCCTATACCAATAACTAAAAATGGTATAGGCCTATTTTATCTTTGAGGTTTTCCTTTGTAGGTGCCCTTTTTCCAGAAAGTGCCGTTTTTTGTTGGTGCCCCCCCCCCCTTACTTTGAAAGACGCTCCACTGCCCCTGGTCCACAGGTAGAGGTGATTGTTAAATCTCGAAGAACAAAACATTATTTCCTCATGGCTATACTCCTAATGTCAATAATTTGGTATTTTTAAATTTATGATGAATTGCTTGTAAATTGATTAATGAAAAAATGTCATCAAACGCACTAGTTTAAAATAAGGCTGACATTGCACCACAGAGCATCTAGAATCCCTGACCTTCCAGGGCCCAAGAAACTGTGTCCAGACCCACGAAAAACTTTGCTTTTTAAAACTTGTAAAATGTAAATGACGTGTTCAAGGAACTGGGGCCCGTTTCACAAAGCCTTTTTTCAATGACAAATGACAAAAATCAGTGACAAATCAGCTGATAACCAATCAGAAGTAAGGATTGTTGTAGCTTATAACAAAAAACTGTCATTTGTCACTGATGACAAGTTTTGTGAAATGTCCCCTGGGGGTCGATCTGGCATGGACTGAAAAGAAAATTCTCCCGAAATAACACGTAAATTACACCAAATATTCCGAACAAAAAATTGGTTTCCGCCATAAAGAAAATAGCTTCCTAATTTAATATCTTAACAGCTTCGAAACCAATGAAAACAAACATACAGATAAACACACACACACACACACACACATTTGTAGCATTCAAATTAGCACTTTGTGCACTTAAATTGATAGTCAATATACATTTCTCGTTTATTACACATGTTTTATAGCTCATTCTTTTTATTTCAAGATTGTTTTTTCCATGTGTATTTCATCATATTTTATTTTCTTGCATTTATACACTTTATATACTTTTAGATTTATCTGATATTCTTTTTTTTTTTAAACGACTTACATCTACGGACTTGATGGTCTCAATAATTTCGTAAATTTTAATGTAAGGAAGTTGTTTGTCTTGTGTTCCATCATAAATTTATCACAATTTCATTATGGAGGAAGGGTACAATATTGGACTGGGGTGGGTATTCTTGTATCCCCACTTTCCCGGGGTATATGAACATGTCCGTGCAGAAATGCCATATCCCTTGAATTCGCCCCTTCTTTACCTAATGTCTGACTACACCCATATGCATTGTCCTCAAAATAAATAAATGTAATAACAGAAAAGACCCTAAAGGCAAATCATGCATTTAGTTGCATTTTTTTAAACTGTAAACGTGTGTTGCATTTCTTCCCCCTAACATTCCTAACTTGAATAAACATAATTCGAACACGAATGACAGGTGTTAATTTGAATGAAAAAATGACGCCTCGACAAGTGACGATTAATTTGAATGCTAGTTGAGCAGTTTCTAAATTAAATGACAGATCTATGAAACCCTTCGACCAAAATTCTAAATTGAATACCAAAACGGGAAAATTAAATGATAATTGGCATGGCAGAGCCGATCTGCGCTAACTTAAATGCAAAGTAAATGAATTCGAATGACAAACTCGCTAATTTCGCCGGGAAATCCTATAAATTACCTTAATCATGTAGTGGTATCAATCGACTTTCGTGGTATTTCTATTCATCTATTTTTATTTTATCTACAATCCAAGGGTTGATCCTTACCAGGCACTAACGTCCTTCGGCAACACATTAATCATTACTCTTCACCTAGGTGTCACTGTGTAACCTGGAAATAGCTGGGCTAATAATAAGTGCAGGGCCCTCCCTGGGCCAACAAAATAATCTTGTTTATTTCATTTTATTTTATCGTATATGAAGAATGGCAA